CTAGAGAAGGTTCATTAGGCCGATCAGGGTATGGAGGGATTACTTTATGAAAAGAGGTTGATTAGGTTGGGTCTGTACATGTCGGAATTTAGAAGAATGAAAGGAGATCTTATTGAAATATACAAGGTTCTTAGGGTACTTGACAGTGTAGATGCGAATAGGTTGTTTCAATAGAGGTAGAGTGGTAGACTCTAGGACAGAGAGCATATTTTCCAAGCAATTAACAAATTGACATTTAATCATTAAATATTTGCGTGATGAACTTTGGGAACAAATAATTGGTCTGCATCTATTCTTGTGGGTTTCAAATCTTCCCATTCCTGTTAAAGGAGGCAGCATGCTATTCCTGTCTATTTGTTTGTAGCTGATTGTAGTGTTGGTCTAATCAGGATCTGACCTGCTTGAGAGCATTGCAGTGGGCTGTGCTGCATTAATGTCACATGTAACAGGTAGACTGCTCAACTTAAAGTCGATTCTTACTGAGCAAGAGGGAAATGCTGCAGTGTGTCTATACTGATGTTTGTTGGATGGGCAAATTGCACACAATGAACATCAGAGAAGAGGAAGGCCTCCTGGTGTGGCACAAAAGGCTTTTATGAATTAGGACATTTTGACTGCAAAAATCTTCATTGTCTTCAATGTGTCAGCTCAGCCTTCAGCCAAATGAGGAAGAGAATATTTGAGGATCCGAATCTCAACCGTGAGAGCAGGAAGACTGCTTTATTTATATAAATGAGTTTGCAACCAGAGTTTTCATCATTTTTTTTGACTTTTGGGGCAGTACTGACAATGAGACATGATAGTTGAAAGCAGCACCATATTCAATCATTGACAAACGTCATTAGCCTTAAAGACAGCGTTCAACAGTTCAAGGTCAAACTTAATCTTCAAGGAAATTTCAATGTAGAGAATTCTACTGTGCGCAACAGGTACGCTCTAGTGTCAAGATTACAAAAGTGGGAAACATTGAAAGCATGTCAGTAATTATAAGAAATGAGTTGCATTCTGAACTCTGTCTTCCATCCACTTATTTCCAGAGATGGAAAATGGTGTGGACAGATTGAATGTTAAACATGTATCTCATTGTGCCTGTATACCTGCTGTGTAGCTAACAGCAGAGAATTCTGACAAAGCTCTGACTAATCAAGAGACTTTCATCTGTTTTTATAGGTCATTTTAACTATGGAAGGTTGTAGTTGTCTTGTCGTAAGAGGTTCACTGGAATGACTGAATAGACCTATATTCTCACACTTAAAAGAATGAAATACAATATCATTGAAACATATAAAATCTTCAGGACATGAATAGGGTCGATACCAAAGGGCTGTTCCTGCTCTCTGGGAAGTCTCAAATTTGGAGCTATAATCTCAGGTGAAGGGGTCAGTCATTTTGGACTGAGACAAAGGGACGTTCGGATCCTTAGATTTCTTTACCAAGAGAGCAATGGATGCTGAATCAAGTCTGAGTATATTCAAGACATATAAGTAGATCTCCATGTACAAAGCAACTTTATAACCCACTAGGTAGCATGTTGTCAACCAAGTCCCACTATTCCTGGAGTCATACCAAATTGTAAATTTTAGAATATGTGCAGTATCCCAATTGGCCTGACTTTTAGACCAATTTCAGATGGAAAACATGGACTAAGTTTCAACACAAACAAATAGGGAAAATAAATTATTGATGGAGATAGTGAAAAGTCAATTCAGCAGTCTTTGTTTTCTGATTCCAATGTTGAAATCATCAGTTTTCAGCTAGCCAGGCCCCTTGGTGTTCAGTTAACTTTCTCTGGAGGCATCGACTGTTCTGTAAGAAGTAACAAGTGACTGATTCATTTGGAAATGTCTCTGATATAGCAATCCAAAAATCACAACTCACACCAACTGGAGCAGGAAAAATAACTAGTTTTCTTCAAGTCTAAATTGATTTTTCTTACTGCAGAGAGCATGTTGCTTCTGCTGGGGAAAACAACTGCACACACATGTATGCCTTTCTCTCTCCCTCTGCATCTGTGTCTCTGTAGCTTGTTTCCAGTTCCAACCTTCCAATTAACTGAGAAACTTTGCTTGTAAACAAGCCTTCAGCTCCTGATTGTCAGCATATTGCAGGAACCCATAGTCATTGAAAACAGAGTTCACAATGGGTATAAAATTCCTTGTTATGAAAGAATGCAGCCATCCTGGTAAATTATGTTTTTTTTTAAAAATAAAATATTTTTCCTTCCAATCTGCAGTTCTTTAAAGGCTGAAAAATGAAAAAAGACCCAATTCTTACATGGAATTAATGTGCATGAAATAATGTTGGAAGATTGATTTTAGTTAGGAGATTAGCTTTGTATGGCTCAATAGGCTCAAATAGCAATTACTCTTGCTCTAATTTCTTACCTGGATATTAAAATTTGCTTTGCAAAGTGAACAAGAGAAATTGATAACCAAATTAATTGCTGAGAAAAATTGCAGATCACGACTCACCATGCTTGAAATGTCTTCTTTTCTAGTTTGTCTTCAGACTGGATAAGAGCATGTTTTCTGTAGCTGGTATCAATGGAGTTAGGTTTTCACCTTTTACTGTTCAATTATTCAGTGAAGCCCAGAAAGAAAAGTCTGGATGGAATGTCTACAGTTGTTTTACACAACCTGCCCGATAGCCCTTCCATTAAATCAGACAGGTTTGATGAGGGGTGGTGTGAACCCCTTGATTTTTCTAAGTGTGAATTGCCCTCCATGACAATGAGTGCCCAAGCAATGAAGGTGAAAATCCACCCCCCCGACATGGTTCAATTGTACAGCCTTGCTCCCATGCACAAGACAAATCACACTTGGCACAATGATCCCTTGCTGCTTTAAGCTACATTTGCTGTCAAAATTGTTGGTTTATTATTTGCTGTCAGTGTATTTTTTTTTGTATTAAGTATCTTGGGAGGTTGTGGGGGAGTAATAAGCAGCAACTCAGGAATCAATACAAGACTGATTGATTGTATTCAGTGGGGTGAGAGAAGCTGTAGAAAGAAACCAATTAATTTCATGGAAATACAAAATAACAGTTTGAATGTCACAGCACCATAAATTTACCACGCGTAAATACATCTCATTGGAACTGAGTATGGAAAACGAGCCTTGAGAAGCTTCTGATCATACCTTAACACCTCAACATTACAAACATTATTGCGGTAAAAGGTTCCAGATAGAAAGGTAGTATATTTTATCATTTCTAATGTAGACATTACGCTGAACATAAATGCATTTGCTAATGCATCAGATTTTATGTCCTTACTTTTTTTTACTTCAAAGAAAGAAATTACGCAGCTTTTAAGTTTGAAGTTGTTGACTTGCTCGCTGAGTAGTTCTACTGCCAGCCAGCTCGGCGAGCAAGTCAACAACTTCATCCCCAACCTGAACTACAAATCTTCACAAGAACCTTAAGCTTTGAAGTTTCTTCCTGTTTCATTTTTAAGCTTAATTCAGGGGTTGCAATACTTAGACAGAAACTGAATTGGTACATCTGAACTATCCAATAATGTTTTTTTGCCAGAACATAAGAAATAAGAAGCTAGAGTAGACCATTTTCTCCATTTAAAATTATCAAGGCTCAAATCCAGCCTCAGTTGCACTTTCCTGCTGCTCCCCATTTCCTGAAAGTCCCTTGGAGACCAAAGATCTGACGGACCAATGTAGGCTTTGAAGAATTCAAATAATGTATAAATGAATTTTTGGAAACCATTTGTTGCCTCATCTGCCCTCTCAACACCTCAAATGTATTAGGAATAGAGGTTTTAAAACTATTTTGTATGAAGCCATTGAGTTACACAGTGGCCCCAAGAGCATACTCAATCTCCAAACCACAGAGATTGCATGGATCTGGTCTGTAGGCCTTCAATCAGAGCCCTAGTGGCTGGGTTAATCATACACTGCTCAACTAGAGGGTTTATAGTCACATGTACTGGAAAGTTACCTTATTTTGTCAAGTCTTTTTAGCCCAACAAGCAACATTATTAATAATTGTTTTCTCAGTCCAGTCCTGAAGCTCTTTTGTACATGTGTGCTAAGATATATGTGTAATGATTGAATGAATTGCTTATATTTTTTAAAGTAATCACTGTCCCACCCATCCTTTCATTCTGTCTTCAACCCATCTTAAAAAGACCAAACAAATGGATTTTTGCCAGAAGCATGACATGCACCTTAGTTTTGTTTTGATCAAATGGCTTTAGAAGAGAGTTGCTTGTTTGTATCCTATATCTCTAACGTCCTTGTTGACAATTTATTCACATATTTCAGTCATCTGTCAGTCTCTGTTCCTTGGAAATTTACCTGACTAGTTATGTGCAGAGATCAGCAACATGCAAACCATTTGAGCATGGCTTTCAGCTTTTAGAATTTATGTAGACATAAGCAGCACTAGGCTTCTTATCTTGAGTCTTGACAAATAGTTACCCATTCACATGGACAGAAATAGTCAAAATTGATGTCTAACACATCTAAAATAGCAAAACAGTGGTGGATGTGGGTGCACTTACAATGTTTAAAAGACATTTGAATAAGTACATGAGTAAGAAATGTTTGGAGGGATACAGGCCAAAGGTAGGCACGTGGGACTGGTTTAGCTTGGGATTATGGCTGACATGGGCTGGTTAGACTGAAGGGTATGTTTCCATGTTGTATGACTGTATGACTATGATTGTTATGATTGAGTCATAACATTCACATGTTGCCTGGAATTGTACCAATTTGTGACGTTTATTCAACTAGTGGTGTTCAGCAGATGTCCTCTCAACCACTTTAAAGAGAGCTGCCTTGCTTGAGTATTGTTTTACTGTTTCTCACCACTTTTACGAAATAATTAAATCTATCTGTTCCAGTTGTGATGGATACATTCTCCAAACTACCCACTATCTCTCACCTTTTAATGTATTTTTTACAGTAATGCCACATGGTTGATTACCATTAATCTGTTCTCTTTTCTCCTTCATTTCTTTCTTCCTTTCCCCAATGCCTGAGTAGAAGTGGAACAGAAAGGTAATAAAATACCTTAGAAATTAATCATTTTCAATCACTGTTAAGCAGTTATTTCATTAATATTTTATATGTAACTACTTTGCTCTTGATGCTTTTGTGTAGAGGCTTGTTTAACTAAGTTTTTGGTGCAGTGTCCACCATTCTGTTGCTTGCTTACAGAACATGCACATTAAATTCACCACATTCAGTTTTTCCGCTTCATTAGAAGAGATCAGATCATGGATGACCGTCATATTTCCTTGCTTTTCTTTTTTCCCAAAAATAACTTACCCATATCATGCCTCTTTCATTTTGTTGTGTTCTTAGCAGCTTTCACTAAATGGTGCAATTTTTTTTTTTGTTATTACACTGTGAGTTTTATTTCAAGATGAATGATAAATGTTTATAATGATCTAGCAATCGCAGTGAAAGGCCTAAACTGCCATTCTCATCTTATTTATTTGGTTTTTAATCAGTTTCTAAGTATCAAAATTTATCTATTCAGAACTGTTGAAATTTTCTTCAGTATTTGAAACTTTCAAAATTTTAATTCTGTTTGTGTCTGTATGTGTACACGTGCTATCCTTTGTAAATTTCAATGAAGAACATGTTTGATGTTAAATTATTCAGATAATCCTCAAAAGTTGAAAGCAAAACTCTATTGTTGTACCAAACCTGAGCTGCCTTTTTAGGATTTTAATAGCTCTGTCTTATGTTCTGTTTCCGCAGTTTTCTTATGCCCTGGAACACTTAAAGCAGTTTATCAAATGGACCACTTGTTTGAGTCTGATCACCAGTCGGGTGCCTGGTGCAAAGACCCACTTCAAGCTTCTGACAAGGTCTATTATATGCCTTGGACCCCGTACAGAACAGATACGTTAACTGAATACTCTTCAATGGGAGATTTTATTGCTGGTCGACCGACCATCACCTACAAACTTCCTCATAGAGTGGATGGAACCGGGTTCGTAGTGTATGATGGAGCACTATTCTTTAATAAAGAGCGAACAAGAAACATTGTGAAGTTTGATCTCAGGACAAGGATCAAGAGTGGTGAGGCCATCATAGCCAATGCCAATTACCATGACACATCGCCTTACCGATGGGGAGGAAAGTCAGACATTGATCTTGCAGTGGATGAAAATGGCTTGTGGGTTATTTACGCAACTGAACAGAACAATGGCAAAATAGTTGTTAGCCAATTAAATCCTTATACATTAAGGATTGAGGGTACTTGGAATACTGCTTATGATAAGAGGTCGGCTTCAAATGCTTTCATGATTTGTGGCATTCTATACGTGGTGAAATCAGTGTATGAAGATGATGACAATGAAGCCACTGGAAATAAAATCGACTACATCTATAACACTGAGCTGAGCATGGATGGAAATGTTGAAGTATTGTTTCCGAACTCCTACCAGTATATTGCAGCAGTGGATTATAACCCTCGTGACCATAAACTGTATGTGTGGAACAATTACCATGTTCTGAAGTATTCACTGGAGTTTGGTCCACTCAACGAAAACGGTATGTGGTATTTGTCTGATCTAACTTGACTCTGTCAGTGTTTCCCATTCGTTTAGGAGAATAATAACACTTCTCTCACAAAACATTTTGATGTTTCTCTTTGATAGGGTAAACGATTGAAAATCCTTGCACCCTTCTCTGGGTTTGAGTAACTGAATATAACTAAAACTCACCATTTTAGTTTAAGTTCCCTGTTGATATGAAATTACATCCCTTTCTGAAGTATTCAAACTTCTGAATGCTGATCTTCCATTTCTTTAGAACTGTGTTATCTCAGGTATCAAATGTTTCATTGGTACAAATCTTTAATTGATCCACCATTCTGAACTGGCATTCATGTCTGTTAAGCTTTGTAAAGTACTGTTTACAGGCTGTGTAAAGTACTGTAAAACCATTTAATTACTTTATACTAACTTCTTTGGATGCACTCTGGCAGTCAGTTCAAATACAGCCAGGTCAAACAGCAGATCAACAAATGACCAGTTAATCTTTGCTTTCTGCTGGCAAAAGTGAAAAAAGTATCTAGAACTCCTGGTGAACTTCCTGCTCTTCTTTAAAAGGTGCCATTGGATTTTTTATAGTCACCTAAATAGGCAATTGGGATGTGAATTTGGTATCTCATTCAAAAGATGGCACCTGCAACAGCACAACACTTCCCCCATACTACTCTGGAATGTCCACTGAAATTAACTTCCTGGAGCTGTGTTTGAACCTATCAGTTGTGGTTCAGTTGTAGTGCTGCATCTGAGTTAGATGGTTGTGCTTTCAAGCTTCATTCTCTAGACTTGGGCATTTGTCAGGGCAATGTGGAATAGAGAAAGTTCTGCACTGCTGAAGTTGACTTCTTTTGGCTGAAACGCTGAACCAAAGTCACCAATGCCCCCTCAACTGGACACCCCTTGGCATTATTTCAAAGAGCCAGGGATTTATTTCACAGTCCTTCTGTTAATTTACATCTCTCAACTAATATAACTAAAAATATGCTATCGGTTCATTATCGCCTTTCTCACTGTGGGGCGTAGCTATGCACAACCTGGCTGTCATGTTTCCCATATTACAGTCATGGTTACATTTCAAGTGTTCTCCACGAGCTGTAAAATACTTCACTATGATCCAAATGGTGCTCTGTAAATAAAAGTATTTCTAAAAAGAACAGCAAAAATTACTACCAATTGATTGAAGCTGGTAGTTAAAGTGGTATATTATCAATGTTAGAAATTGATGGCAAGCGTACAGTGATTAAGTAAAGGGACTAAGTTTTTTATTAAAGGAAATCTACTTATTTTACAACGTAAAGATAATTCATACTGGCGGAAAAAGATTATTTTTGTGAAATTTCCTTAAACCAGTTTGCCAATGGAGATAAAATCCAACAGGGGCCTTAATAACAATGAAATCCTTTCTTCACTTACTCTGTGGATGAACATTTTTGTTGTATTCAAATCAACTGTGAATATGATTTATCATAGTAACCCAGAAGGTGTAAAAGAATCAATGGCATTCTTTGAACAGAATGATTGTGTTGCTTTTCCATCTGTAGGTACCCTGAAGCTTCACAGCTCTAAGCAAGTGTGCTGCATAGTTTTATGTTGCCATAATTGGTATAAATTGTTTGCTACAGGTGAACTGTAACATGGTTGACAACTTGCATTGCTTCACAAAATAACTTGCCAGAAGTATTCTTGTGGGGGTCATCCTGGAACTCAGCTGCAATGAAATTAATGTTGATAGTTGTGCACCTTGCTCATACACCTACTCCGTGCTATCTTTGAGGCAGAAGACGAAAAGAACATTATGACCAATCTGCAGATATTTTGATAAGAGGACTGAGAGAAAATGCTCATGTTAAAAGTCTAATTTGGATCATAAATTCATAGTTCCTTTTATCTATTCAATTTCAGTTGAAATAAATTTAAAAGGGATGGCAGTAATCAAAACTGTGACGTTGTAGAGATGCTTGGACTCCTGGAAATTTTTCCAGGAAATTTGGAAATTAGTCCTACACAATTATAGCCTTTTTGCTTTTGACAGGGTGACTGTAGAACCATCCACCAACCCACCTGCTTTGGGTAAATTTCTGGTGAGTAAGTAACACAAGAGGGAAGGCAGATTATAGATTATAGTCCTTTACCCAAGTACCTGAAACATCATGACAAGTCTTCTGTGCTCAGATACTGCCCTATATCTCCTGAACTTTCCTGCTTTATTTCAGGCAACATAATGTGTTAACTTGCAAGCCAAAACAATTTTTTCTTCTTGCGCAGTACGGAAGAATAAATGAGCAGAAAATAGTCCTCTGGCAGGAAGGATCATAGCCAAAAGTCACAGATTTAAAATTTTTGGGAAGGGAACCACTGGGGAGATGATGGGGATAAGACAAATTGAATAGCTGTTTCAAATAATGTACACAAGCAAAATGGTTTGAATGGTTCCTTTTATGATGTAAGATTCTAAGACAATGTCAGGAATGAAACAAAAACAAATAATTCATTTCATCATGCCCTTTTACACCATGGACCTTGTACAATTTGAAGTATAATGGATTCTTCCAAACCAGTTCATCCTGCTGTGTGAGGCAGACCACCAGTGTTATATTTCTGAAATTTCTCCCATATTTCAAATGATAATTGGATTAACATTGCCCAATTTTGCAGACAGACTCTGACATCTGCATTTTGTGGATCACTCCTACGTGGGCCTGGCAACACATTGTCTTTACAGTACAAAAAAAATCTTAGTATCTTTTACCTGGTGAAAATACAAGAAGCATCAAAGTCCATGTACTGATCACTAAACTGTTGTATTCATCTACAAAAGAAAACAATTTGCAAAAAGCTAGTGGAATATAAAGCTTTATGGCTAGATTTTATATCAAGAATATAACATAGTCTATAGGACAGTATAGCACAGAAATAGATCTTTCATCCAACCATGTCTATTGGCGACCTTAATGCGATTCTAAACTAATCCCATCTGCCTGCACATTGTTCATATCCCTCTATTCCCTGTCTATGTATGTGTCTGCCTAAATACCTCTTAAAATTTGCTAATGTATCTGCTTTTACCACCTCCCCTGGCAGCGCATTATAACCACCTACTGTCCTCTGTGTAAAAAGCTTTCCTTGCACATCTCCTTTAAACCTTTCCCGTCTCACTTTAAACCTCTGTCCCCTAGTAATTAATATTTCCACCCTGGGATAAAGACTTTGACTATCCACTCTATCAGTGACTCTCATAATTTTATATACTCCTATGATCACCTCCTCAGCCTCCGACACTGTAGCAAAATGAATCCAAGTTTATCCGACCTCTCCTTAAAACTAATAGACTCCAATTCAGGCAATATCCTGGTAAACCTCTTTTCACCCTCTCAAAGCCTCCACATTGTTGTTATAGTGTGGCAACCAAAATCGCATACAATACTCCAAATGTGGTCTAACTAAAGTCTTATACAGCTGCCCAATGACTTACCAACTTTTATACTTTATGCCCAACTTTTATACTCCGTTCAACGAAAGCAAGCATGCTGTCTGCTGCCTTTACCATCTTATCCACTTGAGTTGCCATTTTCAGGGAGGCATGGACTTGCACCGCAAGATCACTCTGTATGGCAATGCTCCTAAAGATCCTGCCATTTACTGTATACTTTTGTCTTGCATTTGACCTCCCAAAATGCGTAACCTCACACTTGTCTGGATTAAACTCCATCTGCCATTTCTCTGCCCAACTTTCCATCTGGTCTATAGCCTGCTGTATCCTTTAATAACCTTCCTCACTGTCCACAACTCCACCAATCTTCATGTCATGAGCAACTTACTAATCAGATCACTTAGATTTTCATCCAAACCATTTATATATATTACAAACAATAGCGGTCCCAGTACTGATCCTTGCGGAACACCACTGTTCACAGTTTCTACTTTTAGAAATTCCTTCCACAATGACACTCTGTCTTCCATGACCAAATCAGTTTTGTATACAATTTGCAAACTCACCATGGATCCTATGTTAATCTTCTGAACTAGCCTACCATAAGGGAACTTGTCAAATGCTTTAGTAAAGTCCATGTAGACAACATCCGCTGCCCTACCCTCATCAATCATCTTTGTTATTTCCTCAAAAAAACCTATTCATGTTTGTGAGGCAAGATCACCATAAAGCCAAGCTGACTATCCCTTGTCATTTCATTCTTTTCTAAATGCAAGTAAATCCTGTCCCTAACAATCTTTTTTAATAATTTCCCTATCACTGATTTAAGGCTCACTGCCATATCATTTCCTGGATTATATATGCTTTCCTTCTTAAACAAAGGAACAACATTGATTATTCTCTGGTGTTATGGGACCTCCACTATGGCTAAAGATAAAAGGATGTATGTTTTGCTCCAGCTTTATAAAGCTCTGGATAAATAACATCTGGAGTTCTGTGTCCAGTTCTGGGCACTATACCCTAAAGGTTAGGTGTTTTGTTAGCTCAGTTGGCTGGATTGCTTAGTTTGTGATGCAGAATGATGCAAACAGCATGGGTTCCATTCCTCCACTTCCTGATGTAATCATGAAGGACTCTCCTTCTCAACCTCTCTCCTCACCTGGAACATGGAGATCCTCCGGTTCAATCACACTGAGAATGCAGCTCTGTAGTCTTCTGGGATCATGGCAACATTACCTTTACCCTAAAGGATATGTTAGCTTTGAAAAAAAAAGTGCAATGCAGGTTCCTCAGAATATTACCAAGATTCCAAGGGCTAAATGATGAGGAAAGATGACATTAACTTGGCTTGTAGTCAACTCGATATGAAAAGTTCAAGAAATGATTTGAATGAAGTTTTTGGAGTTTGAAATCTGGGTTTTTGAAGGTGGAATGATGTTGCCACCATTCCTCTTTTCTTGACTGGCTCTAAGGGCCTTATATGATTTACAGTGGTACAGCATCAACCGCTCGTCAGTCTTAACAAGAAGAGGCTTTTGTCTTGACAACATGTATTTCGTTCCATAATCTCA